AAAAATGTGTAGGCATTATACAAGCACTTTGCCCTAGGAACATTCTTTCAGAGAATTTCTTACAACTAAGTTATGAGACATCGGTGAATATTAATGAAACTTTTGATACCTACTTGTTGAAATGACAGACCAAGAGTCGCTGCTTTCATCCACTTTCGGAAGAAGAATACTATCGAAACGACAGAACATTCCGGAGACCATCGTCACACCATTTTCAACTGCCTTGTGCATTTATATGATTTTTGTATACATTTTTGTGATTGCTTATTGAAATATTTTCTAGCGCAGTTACCTCACAGTTTCTTCTTTTTGCGGTCTGTTCTGTGACTGTGACCATCATTTTTGAGCCTTATGCCTGGTACAAACCAAGTGACCCAGGTATAATTAAAGAGTGCTCTACTTTTAATGGTAAAAGAAAACGTACAAAGGCCCCGGTCACACGGGCCAGATAATCCGCAGGGGAACGGAGGCTTTTAGCTGCGGAGAAAAAAGAAGTGCGGTAGCGCAATCACACATTCCCCCGCAGCTCCGTCCTCCGGCCATCGGCAGCCGATCAGACCAGTGAGGCAACACAGCAGGAAAACAGCAGGACCGCGTTTGTGCGCATGTGGCAGACGTCGATGGCTGCTGGATGCGACGGGCTACCAGCGCGTCTCTGATCAGACGCCCGCCCGTGCCGCGCATTTACCGGAAGATAGTACTTCGAAGCAGGTAGTTTTTAACTCTAGGTTTTCCCTGGGAAGCCACGGGGTGGCCACGGGTGCGCTCCACTTGCCAGAAGTGGCGGTGCGATTGCGCCCGAATAATCCGCCCACCACCCGTGGCTCTCCCGCAGCTACTTCCCCATGTGAACAGGGCCAGAAATACAGAAGGCCTCATTCTCCTCATAGCGGTAGTGTGGCTGAGGGGTGGAACAAGTGTGTGTGTGGGGGGGAACCCTCCATGTTTCCCCCGAATTGCCACACTTATTGACACGCCTCAACGGAACTAACAGGAGCTTTAAAAGAAGAGCTCTGCTGGCCATCTGGTCCAGCGTCCTGTTTCACACAATGGCCAACCGGTTCCCCAGGAGGGCCGACAAGAGGGCACAGAGGCCGAGGCTTCCCTTGACGTTGCCTCCTAGCCCTAGGATTTGGCGGTCTTCTGCCTCTGTCTGTGGCAATCCCCTTAACTCACCACCGCTAGTAACCACTGGTGGACTTTCAGAAAAGAGGTCAGTTGGACCGGTGCCACTTCCCCCAGCTTGCACTAGTCACCCAATGGGGCTGCTCTGCATTTCTATAAAAGGGGAAATCCTGAGGAGGGGTCTGCACCATCACCTCAAAGCTCACAGCAGTTGGCTGTCAGAGACACGCTCAGAGGAATAAAGGTAAAGGTAAAGGTTCCTCCTTGCTCGAAAGCCAGTCGAGTCCGACTCTAGGGTTGCGGTGCTCATCTCCGTTTCAAAGCCGAAGAGCCAGCGCTGTCCGAAGACGTTTCCGTGGTCATGTGGCCGGCATGACTCAACACCAAGGCGCACGGAACGCTGTTCCCTTCCCACCGAAGTGGTACCTATTTATCTACTTGCAATGTCTTGCTTTCGAACTGCTAGGTTGGCAGGAGCTGGAACCAGAGACGGGAGAAACTTGAGGGACAGGGGAAGGAGAGAAAAAGTGCATCCGTCCTGCCTATTCCTCTTTCCATGCTATCATCCCCCCCCCCGAACCCATTTTTGCCATCAAGTCACAGCTGACTTATGGCAACCCTGTAGGGTTTTCGAGACAAGAGGCATTCAGAGGCGGATGTTTTCTGCACGAATGGGTCTCCCTGCTCCTTCGCTTCTACTCCTCGGCCACTTTCGCTCGTTTCCACAGAGGTTTTTGTAGTCTGAGGAGCAAAGTCGCAGTTTGCCCCCTTTTGTGGTGCGGCAAGGGAATTCCCGGATGCTGTGCCGCAAGAGAGGTCGAACTGTGTTTTTGCACCTCAGACTGCAAAAACATCTGCAGAAACAAGCAAAAGAGGCAGAGGAAAACGTCATAGTTTGCCGTTAAGAACATAAGAGACGCCAGTGTTGGATCAGGCCAATGGTCCATCCAGTCCAACACTCTGTGTCACACAGTGGCCAGAAACACCAGGGGCCATCAGGAGGTCCACCAGTGGGGCCAGGACATTAGAAGCCCTCCCACTGTTGACCCCCCCCCCAAGCACCAAGAAGACAGAGCATCACTTGCCCCAGAATTCCTATCTATACCTTGTGGCTGATAGCCACTGATGGACCTCTGCTCCATATGCTTATCTAAGTCCCTTTTGAAGCCGCCACCACTTCCTGTGGCAGTGAATTCCAAGTGTTAATCACTCTTGCCTGCCTCTGTGCAGTGACCCTGGTATTCCTTGGAAGTCTCCCATCCAAATACTAGCCAGGGCCAACCTTGCTTGGCTTCCAAGATTTGATGAGATCAGGCTAGCCATGCATGACTGCAAAAGAACAGGCCTAAGCTGGTCTACTCAGAACACTACTCCATAAGGTTTACTCCCAGGAAAGTGGCTTTAGGATTACACTGCAAGTATCTGGATTTTCTCAGCTCTGTACTACGCTTGATCTTCTGAGATTGGGACGCTTCGTAGCACACTACAAATAAAACGCTTTCCATTTCCTCCCATGCAAAGCATTCCCTTTAAAAAACCCAAAAAAACTGTTGGCAATCCTGATCTCATTTGCCCACGTAAAAATGACAGGACAGATGCAGATGATTCCCTATTTCACTGAAAGAAATGCAAAAGCAAAAGGAGTGTCCCACCTGAGGCCACATAGCAAGTCCAGGATTTGAATTCGGAAGCCTTTGTACCCAGGGCTAATACTCCCTCTGCTGGATCTGACTGCTGTCATGTAGACTGACAAATGCTGAAAATAATCCAGGTGGGCAGCCGTGCTTGGTCAGAACAGAAATCTTTACTACGGTTCGTAACCAGCGCAGTCCAACCCCTTCCATGTTGGTATGAAGCAACAGAACACATGTTGAGTCCAGTGGCACCTGTAAGACTAACAACGTTTAATTCTGGGCATAAGCGTTCGTGCTGGTCTTAAAGGTGCCACTGGACTCAAACTTTGTTCTACAAATAATCCAGTGGCCATAATCCTTGGCACCTAGCACATGAAAATCCTACGCCTCTAACCAGGGGTCATTTCCTGCAGGAGCGCACAGGAGCGGAGCTCCGGCAGTAGAGCCCAGGGGGCGGGCACATGCAACAAGTCCCACCCCCTGCTCCCAGCAGCCCTCAGTCAGAGCAAGAAGCAGCCAGGTAAATTGCAGAGCTCCCCCTGGCCCCCCGGTCCAAAACAGTCCAGTGGCACCTTTAAGACCAAGTTTTATTCAGGTACAAGCTCTCCCTCCTCTGCGAGGACAGATCTGCACGTCCCCCCCCCCAATAGCTAGCAATCCAAAACAGTCCAGTGGAGCCTGAGCGGTGGGTGTTCCCTTCTGACACACTTCCGGTGATGTCAGGGGATGTGGCATATGCAAATAAGTTATGCTAATGAGCTCCTGCATCTCTTTTTTTATGAAACGACCCCTGCCTCTAACTCAGGAGCGATGTTCAGCGTTAACTCACTTGAAAAACAAGACATTCGTGTGCAGTAGCGCCCCCTGCCCTCTCTACTTACAACACCCAGAAGTTAATGGTGTTGCCCAACTGTGACACACAGGATTATAATATTATAATTCAAACCAGTCACGGTGCTTGAGCTGTACAAACGGTGAGAATACTGAGATGCCAGGGACACAGTTAAGGTTGTCTGAACCATGAGCTATACTTCCCGTTTCTTTTGTTTTTCGCCCAGGAAATGTTCTATGAACCTATGCAATTTATTCCCTACAGTGACGATATGCCTTAAAATGAGGCAACAAGTGACATAATTATTATTTATTTGTTTATTTATTTTTACATTTATACCCCGTCCTCCCCGCAAACGGGCTCAGGGCTGTGCAGAATTTCAACACGGACATCCCTTCCAATTTTCTCTTCTGGAACCCCTCTTTAACAGTTCTTCCCATTTTCTTATCTGCAGTCTCCCTCCTAGATGTAGACATGAGCAGGTACAGTGTGGAATGTAACATGTAATTATTTACTTCACTTATACCCCACTCCCCTGCCCCCAATTGGGACCCAAAAGTGTCCCACAACATTCCACACGCCTTCATTTTATCCCTGTGAGGTAGGTTAGGCTGAGACAGCATGGCTGGCCCAAGGTCACCTGGCAAGCATCCATGGCAGAGCGGGAAATTCAAACCCAGATCCTCTCAGATCCTAGTCTCTCTGACCACCAGGTTTCCCTCTAAGCTGAGTTAGCGTGAGCTAGCTCACAGTTTTTTGGCCTCCGGCTCACACATTTTTGTCTTAGCTCAGGAAGGATGGCTCCAGAGCAAACTAATTTATGCAGTAGCCAAATTGCTTGCTCACAACTTTAATGGCAGTAGCTCACAAAGTAAAGTTTTTGCTCACAAGACTCCACAGCTTAGAAGGAACATTGCTGACCACTACACCACGCCGGCTCTTACTATCGTAAGTTCTTATTGGGCTGTGCCTGTTACCATTAGTAACAAACAACAACGATTCACCCTTTCCTTGCACACACAAGTTTGTATTTCTCTCTCTCTCACTTTAGCAGGACTGGAGCCGTCCCACGCTTGAACACAGCCCATCAGCTGCATGGGTTTCTGCCTTCAAGGTGCTCAACAAACCTTCCTGGTTTTTGCACTGTCAGGCAGGCAGATGTTAATCAAAGGACACAACGTGCTGCCCTTTTGGCTTGCTGGGGCAAAAAGCTTATGCCAGCACAAAAGCGCTCATCCAGTCCTTGTGAAAAACGGGCAGACAGAAATGGAGCTACCTTCTTTTCCCACAGCTATAAGTCTCCCTGTCTTAGGACAGCAGGTATATTTTAAATTCTTTCTTTAAATTAATTTGGTTCCCCGAGGTCTGTGCACTTTCCCTCTTCACACCCATGTCAATTTCAGCGCTGATTCCTGATTAGGAAGGGCACCCTTCTTGTGAGGGTGAAATAAAATTGAAAATTTACAGAGCCAATAATTAAAATTCAGGGTGTTTTGTCTTTAATTCCCAAAGGCTGTAGTGACAGATACCTATGGGCAAAACTGTATCCTGCAGGCAAAACTGTTTGCCGTTAAACACATAGTTAGAGCTGCAATTAGAGCCACAATTACCCAGAGTCAGCCTTCTGCGGCAAGTCCGACCTGCTTTCAACGACACAGACAAGTCCCGGAGAATGCAACCCAGACCAGAGGTTTCGGTGCATGTTAATCTTGTGAAAACAGCCTTCCGAGGCTATTGTGAGAGTGGAGACAGGGTGGGGTGGTGGGGAGTCAGGCATCGTGTGTCTCTAGATTTGTCCGCTCTGCTAATTATGTCAACGCGAGTCAACAGCTTCAGAAGAGCAGCCGGGTTGTACGGGAAGAGATTTCTTCTGTGCAGCCTCGAAATGGATTTTCGCAGCTCTTGCAAACACTTCACCGATTTCCAAAGCAAGCCTTCAGCCGATATGGGGTCGTCTGGGGACACCCGGGGCCAAGACGGGGGCGCAACAGTCAAATCTTCATGATCCAGAGGAGATGCGTCACATTCCAGGATTTCTGCCTGGCCATCTGTAGAGATGGCCACATCTAAGCAGGCTGGATTACTCGAAGGAGCCTGGACCCTGTCTGCCAAACACGCCTCTTCTATTTCAGAGTCTTCTGAACTTTCGTAATCAACCAGCCTTTGAACGCCCCCCAGTGAAGACGTGTTATCGGACCCTCTCAAAGAGCTGGGCCTGTCAGGTTTCACAGCTCGGTTGTCAAACTGTTGCACAACAGTGCAATTCTTGGAAGAGGTCAGAAGGGGCAGACAGGACTCTGGATCACACAAGGCGCTCTTCTCCGCATTCGCCCATGACTGGCCGCTGTTCTTCTCTTGACAGAACAGGTCCTTTGAAGAAAAGCTCGGATCTCCACTAGCTGTGGGCTCGAGGCCTTTGGAGATGTTGGCAAAATGGCGCCAGTCTTCTATCAGGAGTTTTAAGTACCTTACCAGGTACTCCAGAAAACAGGTTTCTGACGATATCAGGAAGTCAAGAAGAACACTGGCGTCAAACGCGATGCTCTGCAACAGATATAAGAAGATGCAATGGGGATTGCAGCCATGCCTATGCGCTGAGGTGTCCCAGGTCTGGTCATCTGAAAGGCATGAGGGAACTGCAGCTTCATGGCAGAACCTGGAAAATAAGAACATAAGAACATAAGAGACGCCAATGTTGGATCAGGCCAAAGGCCCATCCAGTCCAACACTCTGTATCACAAAGTGGCCAGAAATACCCAGGTGCCATCAGGAGGTCCAGCAGTGGGGCCAGGACACTAGAAGCCCTCCCACTGTTGACCCCCCCAAGCACCAAGATGACAGAGCATCACTTGCCCCAGAGCCCCTATCTATACCTTGTGGCTAATAGCCACTGATGGACCTCTGCTCCATATGCTTATCTAATTCCCCTTTGAAGCCGTCCATGCTTGTAGCCGCCACCACTTCCTGTGGCAGTGAATTCCATGCGTTAATCACTCTTTGGGTGAAGAAGGACTTCCTTTTATCCGTTCTAACCCGACCGCTCAGCAATTTCATGGAGTGCCCACAAGGAGTTCTTGTCTTGTGAGAAAGGGAGAAAAGGACCTCTTTCTCTACCTGCTCTTTCCCATGCATAATCTTATAAACCTCGATCACGTCACCCCTCAGTCGTCGTTTCTCCAAGCTAAAGAGCCCCAAGCGCCTTAACCTTTCCTCATAGGGTGACACAAAGCAGTGACACAAAGAAAAAGCAGGGTGAGGCTCCCGAACAAACATTTCATCAATGATCGTCGTTAGCCAAAATGGCCAACCAGAGGACTGCGTGATTCTTTGTCACCCGTCAGAGGTGGCCAGAACACCTTGAAGGGCAGACTACAACCAGAGACAAAATCCTGCCCTAAGTGAACCCTTGGTCTCGTCTTACAATGACAAAGACGTCTTAACAGAGAAGATGCCCAAGGCTTCCGTTAAAACTGCTGGTTAATTTTAACTTAGAAAAGCATCTGATATACTGAAAGGCAGCATGGGACGTTAATAAAAATTGTGTGCCATGAAGTCACAACTGACTCACGAGTGACCACAGAACCAAGGCATGAGACGAAGAGAAGGGGCTGGCCGCTGCCTTCCTTGGCACGGCACCTCTGGATTTCCTTGGTGGCAGGCCCTAGGCCAGGGTGTGTGTGTTTTTTGTTCGGGGGCATTTTTTTCTAGTGTCAGGATTTTTTTTGTTCGGGGGCACTGACATTTTTAGGGGGGCAGTTAAATTACAGTTAATTAAATTAATCTGCATGCCTGTCTTTAAAGGGAGAGGCCCCGAGCCTGTTTCTAGCCCTTCCTTTCAAGGGATGGGGCAGCGAGCGCGTCAGTTTCTGGGGGGGGGGGGAAACTTTTTTTCTGGGGGGGGGGGAAACCAGCTCAGAGGGCATTTCACTGCCTTCGGAAGGTATCTAAATGCCTTCTGAGTTCCGCAGGGCAAGGAAGCTTAGAAGGGCACTCTAATTTGCATGTTTCCCAAAGGCTCATGGGAATGCTTTTGGAAGACTCACCGTGACCTAGGTGCTCTACAGCAGGACTGGGCTAACAGAAAGGGGGGTTGTTACAGAGGTACTGAACGTGCCACTCTTGAGTGCCCTTCTAAGCTTTCTTGCCCTGCAGAAGGAAAGTCAAAAGGCATTTAAATGCCTTCCTAGCCATCTTTTCCCAGGTCCCATGATGCCCCCCGCGGGGGTCTCTCCTCAAAAATAAGGTTTCTACACACACACACAAACACATTTTAAAAATACAAAAGAATGCCCCCCCAAAAAATCAGGTTTCTGGCATGGCTATTTGTGGGGTGGGGCTTTTAATTAAGGGGGTGCCCCCCCAAAAAATGCTGTTAGCAACACGATAGCAGATTTAAGTACAACACTCAGCCATGCTATCACTCAGCCATGCTATCCTGAGCAAAGGTGCACCCTTCCGAATTGACTGAAGTCAATGGGAATAACTCTGCCTAGGACGCCACCACAGGTCTTCACCTTTTAGTCCTCCTCCCCAAATAGGGACTAAATAAATGCCCTTAACATGAAGACAGATCCAGGTAGTCAGCCGTGTTGGTCTGAAACAGTAGAACAAATTTGGAGTCCAGCGGCACCTTTATGAGCAACAAAGGTTTATTCAAGGCTTGAGCTTTTGTGTGCGTGCCACTGGACGCTAAATCTGTTCTACCCTTAACATGGTATGAGTGACACACTTGACAGGATCCAGCAGGGCGTCCAAATGTGCGCCAATCGTATATGAAGGTTTGGGACTTGGCAGTTACAGACAAATTAGCATCCCAGATGGTAGCCACAGACCGGAATAGGACCTCATCTAACTTTTTGAAAAAAAATGGTTTTCTTTCTTTGAATTTGTTCCTGATTCTCCGAACACGGTATGTTCTTTAACTAAGAACTATCTCAATTTTGTATTTTACTAAGTGTTTAAAAATGTATATATACAGAAATATAAAGTGTAAAGGGTGTGGTGAAACAAAATCTTTTCTATTCATTAAAAAAATCTGAATGTTTGTATTTTTGTATTACTGTTGATTAATTTTTTTTTTTAAATTAAGTTAAAAAAGAGAAACGGCACAATTCACTCAATCTCCACCAGAGCCGACTGAATTGTTTGACCCCATGTGTAGGCGAGGCCCATGACCCTGTTCCCAGAACGCCTGTCCACAGCCTATCGCAACGTTTATTGATCCTGCGTTCTTGTCATTAACATCAGAACCCTGAATTAGCACTTTGAAAATAATCTCTGCACTTCCCCATCACTTACATTCTCCCTGTTCTGGTACTGTTTGTGTTGTTTTTAACATAAGTGTTTTTTATTTTGAACAATATATTCAACAGTACATTCATAACACATATTAACACCGTGTGTTAACCAACATTTCAGTCTTTAAGAGCCCTTTTAAAAATATAACAGACAGGGATCGTTTCATAGAAAAAGAGCTAGGGGAACTCATTAGCATAACTCATTAGCATATGCCACACCCCCTGACATCAGGGGCCCGGCGGTGGACCTGCAAGGCCGGCGGGAGTGCGAGGAAGCCCCGCCAAGGCCCTCCCTGGCCCCAGGCAGGCAGGGGTGGGGAGAGGCGGGGAGGAAGCAACTTACCCTCCCTCTTCTCCTGCCTCCTCCTGGCTGAATGAGGGCTGGAAGCGGGGCGCCCGGAAGCAGGGGGCGGGGCTTCGTCGTGTGCCCCGCCCCCCACACCTCACCCGAGGGAACTGCGATCCCCCCCGAATCGACCTCTGATAACAGATCTTTGTAACAGGAGTTGTTTGGAATCACTTCTTCTTCTGCGAGATAGTTCACTGCTGGGAACCAAATTGCTTGAAAACTTTTTGGGTAAGAGACAATTTTACCATAAATAAAGTGTTCCCAGACTTTGTTTTGCCAACAATGGAGAGTAGGTTGATTTTTGTTTTTCCAGGACTGGGCTGAAGTTATTCGTGCGATTGCTAATAATGTTGCTATTAATGTTAATGTTGAATTATTTTATAACATTAAATGTTGCTTGTAACTGTTCAAATGCTTTAATGTGCTTATGCAGACCACCTTGGGGACCCTGACTGGGTGGGAAAGTGGCATAAAACTATTTTAAACGAATTAATTAATCAGCTGTGGGAGTCTCTTTTCTCTCCTAATTTTATATATAGAATATAAAAATATTTCTGCCATCTACCCGGATGGTTTCATTCTAAAGCACTCATCTGCAAGGCTTGCTCTTGGAATTCCCCCCACCTTGTTGGGGAGAGAATTGCTTTTTTGTGTTCCAGAGAAACTTCAGCTCCCTTAAATCCCACTGATTCGTCTGCCCTCACACAGTTCAGACCTCTGTTTTGCAAGATAACAGGAGCAATCTCCCATTCAGACTGCACGAACAATGTAACCAAACACCTCAACGGCCTTGGAAGAATGCTGTGTGCTTCCAAATGTCACTTGGCAAATGGACAAGAAGCAGTGTTAAGTAGGTAATCAGTTCCTAAGTGAGTCCCTCAAGAGGGGCCAAAAAACCAAAAACGGGACTCTTATCCAAAGTTATTTCAACTGGCATCTTGTCAGCAGAGTCCTAACCTGGAGAGGGTCTGGATTAAAGGGGCTGCTCACCAAACCATCGGGTGAACTTTGCCGGCCGGGTGTTCTGCAGCCCAGGACCTTCTGCAGCCCCGGGCTTTTCCAGCCAAGTCCCTGGTGGGCCATCATCCAGAGCTGACGGACTGGGCTCTGTCTGATGGAGAGCAAACTGTGATCTGGTACTTGTGAGTCTGCTCCTCTATTCTTCGCGTAGGGTTGCCAAGTTGGGTGTTGCGCCGGAGCAGGGGACTCCCGGCTGTCGTCTGGAGCGCGACGCCGGGCACGCTGGGGGCGGGGTCACGACCATCCGAGGGAAAACCATAGAGTTTTCCCTTGGATGACTGTGGCCCCGCCCCCAGCGTGCCCGGTGTGGTTGCATCACTTCCGGGTGACGCGCACGTCGGGGTGGGGCTTCCCCCGGGGCCCGATCCACCGGTGGCAGGGAACGGGCCTCTGGGGCTGGGGTTTCCCCACCCCCCAGGGGGACTTGGCAAGCCTATCTTCACCCTCCCCAAAAAAGGATAGTAACTTTTCTTCTACTTGAAGACCTGAGAGTTAAGGCAGCCACTCACCTCTTAAATTGCAAGTGAACACTCAGTAAGGCTTTTGCGGCTTCAAACATGTCGTCGTCTTGTTCTATGAAGAGCTTGGAAAGCCACGTGCAGGGGTGTTTAAACGGGTGGGCACAAGGAGAAGACCTCAGGTCGTTCTTTAAGAAGGACAACAGAGGGCACATAACACTCTCCAAAAGTACTAAAGAGAGAGAGAGAGAGAGAATTGCAAATTAAATTCAATTTTTCCTTTGTTCTTTTAAATGAACCACACATTTGCACTGGAACCTCGAAAGGCTTGGAGAATGCATTTCGCCACCGCTACCAAAGGGATCTACTAACATTTCCTTGCACCTATAGGACATAACAGAAGGAAACACTTGGTAACACCACACAACCTGCATGGAGAATGCCTTCAAACTCCTAGCAACTAGCAGCCTGCGGGCTAAATACAACCCACTAATAATTGGTCTGCACCCATCTAAAGGCTAAAAAGACTCAACTGATCTCACCACACCTGATGGCAGAAGCGAGACATCAGAAAAGTGTCTGCTTCGCCAACCACATACACATTACATGAGTTCACTTCTTCCCATCTTCCGCAACGTTATCTGCATGCATTACGGAAGTTCTGTGAGGCACATTTTGTTGCTACCTGCAGAAGCTGTGAGGCAATAACATCCCTGGCTCTTTAGTTTTGTTAGTTAGAACTGTAGACTGCCTGAGTTCCCTTGCCCGGATACCAGTTGATCTCATCCCTGTATCTTCCTGCTAATAAGTGGCTGCTGTTTTGAATACACCTGTCTATACTGTGTGAATGTAAGAACAGGAACCTGAGTTAGGACCCTGTTTCTGGGAACATTACATACATGGTGGGCCATCAGTGTCCCAAGGTAAGTGACACTCAACTCCCAAAGAGAGCATCGCATACATGGTGGGCCATTGGTGGGCCAAGGTTAGTGACGCTCAACTTGCAAAGGGAATATTACGTACACGGAGAACAATCAATGTCCCAAGGTAAGTGATACTCAATTCCCAAAGGGAACATCGCACACATGGTAGACCATCTGTGGCACGAGGTAAGTAACACCCAACTTGCAAAGGGAACATCACATACATAGTGGCCCAAGGTAAGTGATGCTCAACTTGGAAAGGGAATATTATGTACACAGTGGACCATCGATGTCCCAAGGTAAGTGAACCATCAGTGGCCTGAGTTAAGTGACACGAAGGGAATACAACATACACAGTAGACAAGCAATGGGCCAAGATAAGTGATGGTGGAACTCTCTACCTAATGACATCCGTGCCCTGCGGGACCTAGTTCAGTTCCGCAGGGCGTGTAAAACAGAGATGTTCCGCCATGCCTATGGTTAAGGACAGCAATCAGTTTTTATTCAGATTCTACCAGGGCCTTCACCATGCCCAGTCTACAATTCGCCCTACGGAGGGAGAGGAATTTTTATATGCCATCCACTTATTTTGAGAATACTATCATTTTATGTGTTATTTGCATTTATATTAATTTGACTATTTATTGTATATTTCCAGTCTATTCTATGTTTGAAATATGATGTACACTGCCCTGAGCCGTTTGGGGGAGGGCGGTCTATACATTTAATATAATAATAATAGTCATGGTAACCATAATAATCATCATAATAAAGACGAAGAAGAGAAGAGATTGGATTTATACCCCGCCCTTCACTTGGGAGTCTCAGAGCGGCTTACAAACTCCTTTCCCTCCCCCTCCCCACAACAGACACCCTGTGAGGTGGGTGGGGCTGAGAGAACTCTGACACAAACTGCTCTTTTTCAAGGACAGCTGTGCCAGAGCTTGTGACTGACCCAAGGTCACATCAGCAGGTGCAAGTGGAAGAGTGGGGAATCAAACCCTGTTCTCCCAGATTAGAGTCTGCACACTTAACCACTACACCAAACGGGCTCAACTCCCAAACAACTCAACTCCCAATGCAAACATTGCATACACAGTGGACCAGCAATGGCACAAGGTGAGCAATGCTCAACTCCCAACGGAAAGTGCAGTGCGCTTCCAAACAATATGCCCAAGGTCCAGTGATGCAGTTCAGTGAGTTGTACAGGCTGCACTACCTACAGGTGACTGATGGCGCAAGGCCACAATTATCCCAAGTTAAACATTGTTAGATGGCTGTTTTCTTTTTCATTCTCTTTAACAGTTAACAGGCAAATCTTCCAGACAAAACAAATCGAGCCCTCACTGGTTATTAATCGGCCCTCATTTACCATTCAGCTACAGAAACAGTCAGTAAAGCAGGTTTCTTCTTGTGTCCTTTACTACCTAGCAGCAGTTTCATCACTAACAAGGAAAGGAAAACTGGTGGTCTGCAAATTTATTTAATAAATCTCTAACCCGGGGCGGCCAAACTGCAGTGCGAGAGCCGCATGCGGCTCTTTCACACAGTCTCATTTAAAGTTAATAAAAAAGCAAATTTGCATATTTTTCAATTAAAACGTGCGTGCAATATTTGTTCATGTCTTGCGGCTCTCAGACAGCTGATGTTTATTCTGTCTGGCTGTTACGTTGAGCCAGTTTGGCCGCCCTTGCCTATCCCTTAAGTCATATCAGCTCCGGCTGGTATACTGGTTTGGGATACAGGCATTCCTTTGTGAAGCCAAGGCAGGGAGGGGGTCTTCTCCTCCACCTCTGCCTACCAACCAGGCCTTTAAAATAAGATTACCTTGGGCTTCACCTTCAGAAGCAGAGCTCTGAACCTTGGTCTCTAAAGCTTTAAGCAGAACCAAGCTTAAGGCTCTGAGGAACACGTCGTCAAGGCCACAACAGACATCCAATTCGGGCCTAACTTGACTGCCTCCAAAGTGGGCAGCCTTTTCACCGTCAAACAATCGATGCAGCCATCCGGAATCCACAAAATGCAAAACGGTGTTTGAGAAAACGACTCTATCCTCATCCAGATGAGGGTCTTGGGGGAATGAAGGGGGAACCTTCCCCATGACTAGGTCTTCTCCAGCTTTACAGAGAATGCATCTTTTCAGTAGGACCATGGATTTCTTTTTGACGAAAGTGTGCGCAGGAGAGGTGGTCAGGCCCAACACGTAAGCAACGTTTGAAAACAGCATCCTTTGGCAGGCAAAAGGGGCTGCCGTTCGGCTCCTCGAGGCCACAAGCAGTTCGAGGAGGTCGAGAAAACCACTCAGGCCGTTCATACATTTGTCAGAGGGCAAAATGCCTTCAGGAAGATCAGACACCTGAGACAGGATGGGGTGGCAAAAGCCTTCCAGGATGCCATCGAGTGGAGAAAAAAGCTTCTCGAGTTCTCCTGTAATAAAAGCACAACCAGTTTTAGAAGAAGAAGAAGAGATTGGATTTCTACTCCGCCCTTCACTACCCAAAGGTGTCTCAGAGCGGCTTACAAACTCCTTTCCCTTCCCCTCCCCACAACAGACACCCTGGGAGGTAAAAGAAGAAGAAGAAGAGATTGGATTTCTACCCCGACCTTCACTACCCAAAGGAGTCTCAGAGCGGCTTACAGACTCCTTTCCCTTCCCCTCCCCACAACAGACACCCTGGGAGGTAAAAGAAGAAGAGATTGGATTTATACCCCGTCCTTCACTACCCAAAGGAGTCTCAGAGCGGCTTACAGACTCCTTTCCCTTCCCCTCCCCACAACAGACACCCTGGGAGGTAAAAGAAGAAGAGATTGGATTTATACCCCGCCCTTCACTACCCAAAGGAGTCTCAGAGCGGCTTACAGACTCCTTTCCCTTCCCCTCCCCACAACAGACACCCTGGGAGGTAAAAGAAGAAGAGATTGGATTTATACCCCGCCCTTCACTACCCAAAGGAGTCTCAGAGCGGCTTACGGACTCCTTTCCCTCCCCCTCCCCACAACAGACACCCTGGGAGGTAAAAGAAGAAGAGATTGGATTTATACCCCGCCCTTCACTACCCAAAGGAGTCTCAGAGCGGCTGACAAACTCCTTTCCCTTCCCCTCCCCACAACAGGCACCCTATGAGGTAAAAGAAGAAGAGATTGGATTTATACCCCGCCCTTCACTACCCAAAGGAGTCTCAGAGCGGCTTACAAACTCCTTTCCCTTCCCCTCCTCACAACAGACACCCTGTGAGGTACGTGGGGCTGAGAGAGCTTTTGACAGAAACTGCTCTTTTTCAAGAACAGCTCTTATCAGAACTACGGCTTGCCCAAGGTCACATCAGCAGGTGCAAGTGGAGGAGTGGGGAATCAAACCCGGTTCTCCCAGATTAGAGTCCGCGCACTTAACCACAACACCAAAGTGGGCGTGAAGATCACTTAAACCGGGCTTCAACAATCAGAGAACTGGCCATTGCTGTTCAGTTAGATTTATTTTCATATCTTTGTCCCAGGCTTTTATGTTAGTGAGGATCGTACTTTTTCCTGTGTCCCAAAAAAGGATCTTGTATAAAAGTGAGAGCAGACCTTTAGAGCCCAATGATCCTTTGCTCAGTAGTGTTAAAATACGAGTCCCACATACAAGGGTATGCGGGGTCCCATTCAGGGGTCGTTTCGTAGAAAAAGAGCTAGGGGAACTCATTAGCATAACTCATTGGCATATGCCACACCCCCTGACATCACCGGAAGTGTGTCATAAGGCCACATACCCTGACATCACCGGAAGTGTGTCATAAGGCCACATATCCTGACATCACCGGAAGTGTGTCATAAGGCCACACACCCCTGACATCACCGGAAGTGTGTCATAAGGCCACACCCCCTGACATCACCGGAAGTGTGTCATAAGGCCACACCCCCTGACATCACCGGAAGTGTGTCATGCCACACACCCTGCCCCCAACGGTCCCGGCTGCCGCCGGCGGCCTTGCATCTCCACTGCCGAGCCCTATGAGGGGCCCGGCGGTGGACCTGCAAGGCCGGCGGGAGTGCAAGGAAGCCCCGTGAAGGCCCTCCCTGGCCCCAGGCAGGCAGGGGTGGGGAGAGGAAGGGAGGAAGCAACTTACCCTCCCTCTTCTCCTGCCTCCTCCTGGCTAAATGAGGGCCGGAAGCGGGGCGGCCGGAAGCAGGGGGCGGGGCTTCGGTATGTGCCCCGCCCCCCGTACCTCACCCAGGGGAACTGCGATCCCCCGCGATCCCCCTTGAAATGACCTCTGGTCTCATTCCAGAATCATTCGAAAATGGTGTCCTCTCACATTTCACAGAAAACGATGTATTACCAGCACATACTGGCTATGCAGGATGGCTACATCTATGAGAATTTTTTAATGGTCTGAGCACTCTCATAAAATACTATTGAGGGATTATTATACGTTACTATTATAGCAATCTTAGAAGAACTGGAAAATCGCAAGAAAGTGACAAGGATATGGGTAAGAGGAAGATCCTGCTGACAAGTTAATAGATGGCATTGTGATATATGTATCTGCACTTACGGTTTGTATTAATGTTTATACAGTAATCTTGAGATATAATGGGTTTATTTATGTATACTTATCTTTTAATAAAATTTAATTAAAAAAAACAATCAGAGAACTGGCAAGCAAGTCATGGCCAGTGTTCCTCTAAGCTGAGTTAGTGTGAGCTAGCTCACCGTTTTTTAGCCTCCAGCTTACACGTTTTTTGTCTCAGTTCAGGAAGGAGGGCTCCAGAGCAAACTGCTTATGTAGTAGCCGAATCACTTGCTCACAACTTTAATGCCAGTAGCTCACAAAGTAGAATTTTTGCTCACAAGACTCCACGGTTTAGAGGGAACATTGCTCATGGCGATCGCAGGACCATCGTGTTTTCAAAGTAAGAGATGAGAGACTGCCTCCCATACAAGCACTAAACGTGGCCGACCCTGCTAAGCTTCTGGGATCTGACAAGATAGGAACAGCCAGGCTTGTTCAGCTTGCTCTGTTATTCAAGCTGCTTTTTGGCTCCAAGCTTAATGAACTCCACCAACAGGGAAACCTCTACAGTTGAGATCTGCAACCTTCTTCCCCCCTCTAGTGGGCATTTGCAAAATTCATCCCAGTTTCAACAACGGATACCTCCTTTGCCCAAACTTTCGTCCTTCAGAATTTTCCGGACTGCGTGAGTGAGAGTCCACAGGCATTCCGCTGTCCAGCCACTGCTGGGGAATCCCGACAAAGTCTCCGAGCAAAAGGTGAGCCAGGAGCTATTCAACGAACCCTGCAGGAAGAGAGAGAGACAGGTCTGCGTATCGCAGCGAGTGGGATCCCGCGGGTCTGCAAGCAAAATGATCCTCCAGCCAGAAGCAGACTGTAAAACATCTGAACGGTTTTTAAAAGCATTTAAACCACCCAAAACATTACTCCCCAAGAGCAAGTGCACGGATGCACATCCAGCTCCTGGCTCTGCCGTGTGCAAACCCAACATGATTTCCCGAATGCCTGCTCTCGCCCCTGACCTTCACCTCATCCCCTGACACCGCCCCCCCCCCGCTCCCATTCATACTGTTACATGAGCCCGGGGAGCGTGCATAAATTTCGGTTCACCTCTTATTTAATCCTCCCCATGCTACTGGGGAGGGAGACAGGAGAGGAGCCGGCACACACGGGGTAGCAGGCTCCAGCTCACCCAACTAAGCAGGCCTCCTCCACCCCTGAACCTCGGCCTTCTGGATATGTTGATCCCCCTCACATAAGCGCTGGGCTTTTCTATCTTGCCCAGGGGCTACTACGTGCAGCGCGCTTGACCCAGCCACTCGCTCTGTTTATGTGTTTACATAAGTGGGCACGTTTGGTGAGCCGGCCGGCAGCTCTTCACAGGTGCCTGTGCCAACAGGCGCTTTCCCTGGGCTGCCTGCAAGTGGGAAGCCGCTCGGCTGCTCGGCCAGCCATCTTTCCAGCAGCCCAGGAGACAGAGGCGGCAGCCCAATGCGCTCTGGCCAGAGAAGAAGGAGGTGGCGACGGCAGCAGGCAGTGCGTCCCGGCTTGACACCTTGGCCAAGGGCGGCAGGCAGGCCCCAAGGGGACTGGCTGTGCAGCGTCAGGGCCAAACCAGCCCTCCTCACCCCTTATCGTTGCCAACTCCGGGGTGGGTAATCCCTGGAGATCTGGGGGAAGGTCCTGGGGAGGGCCTGCATTGGGGAAAAGGGGTTTAATACCCTAATATAGGCCCTTCTGGTGCACATTTGGACTGGTCCCCCCCCCCGTTGCTCATGAGCCGGATAAGAGCCCTGGACGAGCCGGTTCCAGCCCCCAGGGCCATCTGTTTGACACGTGTGCACTAGGTGAACTAAAATGTATGCTCAATTAGGACGTGGGATTGCTAAGCATCTGGGCCGGGTTTCCTTCCCAGTTAGGGTTGCCAAGCCACACGTAGC